TATGCCAGGGAAATTTTTTAAAATATCATTGATATTCTCACTGTCCAGTTGTGAAAGCAGATGCAAGAAAGTTAAGGGATTCACAAAAGAGCTTGATTCCCTGACAGTGAAAGTTACCCCCAAGTTTGAGCAACAATGCTGCTCCTTCATTATTTCCCACGCACGATCTAGACTTCCATTCAACTGGCCTTCCATGAATTTTCTCCTTCAGGCCCTAATTTCAATTTAGCTACTCCCTGTCCCCAGACGGTGCATGGCAAGAGGCATAGCCTATGCTCAGCACTATTATTATTAAGTGAAGAGATAATGCTGTAAAAGTCAGTGTTATTTTTCCCCCAAGAATTCCCAGAGAGAGTGTCTCTGCCTATGTGCTTCTCTAAGTCTCCATTAGACTGCTCGTTCTCTTGCTCCTTCTGCTTCCACTGCACAGGTTGTTTCTGTCCCTATGTAAAGGTGACAGTGGTAAATGCAATCAGCCCTGGATGAGTACAAAGTCTCTAAGTCTGCCCTTTTTATTCAGCAAAAGCACTTACTAAAGGAAAAGGTGACTTCTCTCTACTAGCTCTGAAAAGCAAATTTCTAGGACTGTAGAGACTTCGGGAGTCTAAGAGATTTCCATAAAAGAAATAGAAGCATGACTATTTTTCTCCTAGGACTGCTGTGTAGCTCTGAAACTCCATTCACTCACTCCATCCTCCATGTATTGTATTTCAATAAAAACTTAATAAACAGAATATTAAAGATTTGAAGAATTATACAAAGTATTCAATTTCTAACCCTGCCATTTATTTTATTTTTATGAGATATCAGGACCAGTTTAATAACTATAATAAACATAAACTTTGACATTTATAACACTATTCACCAGATTAATACCAGATAATATTTTCTAGAAGTGTCATTTTAATAGGAATAAATGGGTAAACAGATATGTCTTAGACTTACTCTACCAAGATTGCAGGAGCTCAATTTTTGAAAGCAAATTAACAACCAAAATCAATATTTTCCCTGTTAATTCCACATTCACTGAAAGAGTTTTACTAGTAGAAGATAGCAAAAGATATGTTCGTATTGGACCAGCCAATGCTGCCTTTGATGCATATTAAAAAGAGAGAGAGTTCTTCTCACTCTATGAGTTTTAACCAATGGCTCTGGACTTGCTCCTATAGGTCTGTTTACAAAGCCCCTTGTACATGCACATGAGCACAGCTGATGACTAATATTATCAGATTCATCTGGGCAGAGGGCAGTAGGATGTATTTTGTTATTAACATTTCTAATTTATCATTGCCCACTGCTCTCTTTCTTCCTATTTCCTGGTTAAGACTTTCCAAGACGTTGATGACTTCATAGAAGACCCAAAGACATAAAAAAGAATATCAAGAGAAATGGATGTTTCTTAGACCCTAAAGGAAGAGTACAGAGGTTAGTATTCCGAAAATCGAACCACTTTAGATAAAGGCCACAAGTTGTCACACTGCAGAGAATGTGTAGCCCAGTACCTCGTAAGTTACTTGGAATCCAAATATTTTTAAAACTCTCCAAACTTTATTTTACCAATGAATAATCCCTAAACCATAGTAAGATATCATATTCACACATAAAATTGAAAAAAAATAAAAACTTTGATTAGTATCAAAGGTTGGTGAGGGTATGTGAAAATGGGGATGCCTCTACACTGCTGGTGGGAGTTAAAATTGTTGTAGAAACTTTGGAGATCAATTTTGCAGCACTGGTCACAATTTAAAATACTCATATGCCGCAGAATAGCAAATTCATCTTTCACCATCTAATTTCTTACATAACTACAAAAAGTGCCTCTAGGAGCTAAGAGTGGCCAGCAACGAAAAGGAAAATGGGGATCCCAGTTAACAAACTCAGAAAATTATTTCTCCCAACAACCAGTAAGCTTGGAAGAGGACCCCTAACCCCAGATCATAACTGACACCTCGATTCAGCTCAGTGAGACCCTAAGTAATTAGAGAATCCAGCCATGTCAAGCCTTTTTTTTTCTTTTTTTTTTTCTTTTGTCATACAAGATAACTCACAGGATCCAGGGAATAAGACATGGATGTCTGGGCGGGGGGTACATTTTTCAACTGACCACAGACGCTTATTGAATATAGTATATGTACTTTATATAGTATATACACCATAAAAGACAGAATGTCATCTACCCCCTAATTGAAGCACAATCTTTGCAGGGGTTTGGAGAAAATAAAACTCACTCCCAGTTGAGAACAGCAGAAGCTGTTAAAGAAAGGGAAGTGTAAGGTATGCTCTGAAAACAAGTACGGATTTAAAGGCAGGAGCAGGTAGAGGGAAATTCCTAACTAATGGAAGATTTGGATAGAAGCTATAGAAGGGGATAAGCTTGGCAGGTAGACTGCAACATTGGCTTAGAACCTTGGGTTCTAAAACCAGATTCCTGGGTTTGAATCTCACTTTGCCTTTCTCCAGCTGTGTGTTTTTGACCTCTGTGTACATCAAATTGTTCATGTTCACAATGGATATACCACCATCTAACTCATAGAGGTTTGGTTTTTTTACAATGCTTAAGGTACTACGAAAAATATTTGTATAGTATGAAATATAAGTTGCTATTGTCACCTCTAAGTATCTAATATTTCCTTATTGCTTATGGTTTTTGATTAATTGCCTCAAACCCCTTCAGAAATAGGTAGGTAGAAGTACAAGTCTTACATGAGTTACTGAGAAGAACTAAAGTTTCTCAAATGAGTCATTTTCTTTACTACTTGCAGTCCATGCCCTATAGAACCCTAAGATGAAACTGTAATGATGAAACTCCACCATGGTATTTTTAGCTGCAGAATCTTCAACTAAGGAGGCTTTGCAGATATGTTTAAGTTAAGGGTCTTTATGAGATAGGGAGATTACCCTGGATTATCCAGGTGAACCCTAAAGGCAATTGTATGTATTCTTGTAAGAAGGAGGGAGAAGGAGATGTCACACACACACACACACACACACACACACACACACATGAGGAAGAGTCAGTCTGACAATGGAGGCAGAAATTGGAGTGATGCAGCCCCAAGTCAAGGAATGCTGGCAACCACAAGAAGCTGAAAGGCATAGTGAATGGATTTTTCCCCAGTGCTTCCAGAGGGAGCATAGCCCTGCTGACATCTTGATTTAGGTCCAGTAACATAGACTTTGGACTTTTGGCCTCCAGAACTATGATACAATAAATTTATGTTGCTTTAATCCACTCAGAGTGTGCCAATTTGTTTCAGCAGCCACAGGAAACAAATACAGAATTATTCAATTCAATATTTTGAAAATAATTTATCTAAATCAATTAAATAATTACTTTTCACTTTAAAACTGGATCTTTGGGCACAGTATCCTGAATAATGAAACTATTATAAAGAGGTAATTCTGTATTATGTATTTGGCTAACTGTAGCAAAAAGTCGTGATTTAATCATAGGATATTATGAAAGGAAAAAAAGAATCTGTGAGCATATGTAATGTGAGTTCAACTTTCTGTTTGCAGTTAAGGAACATGGTGATATCTGCCACTAAAAGTAGAAACAAAAATTTCAAACAAAACACAAATTTTAGGGGCTTCCCTGGTGGCACAGTGGTTGGGAATCTGCCTGCCAGTGCAGGGGACACGGGTTCGAGCCCTGGTCCGGGAAGATCCCACATGCCACGGATGCAGCTGAGCCCGTGTGCCACAACTGCTGAGCCTGCTCTCTGGAGCCTGCGAGCCACAACTTCTGAGCCCGTGTGCCACAACTACAGAGGCCTGTGTGCCTAGATCTCGTGCTCTGCAGCAGGAGAGGCCACAACAATGAGAGGCCCGCGTGCGTAATGAAGAGTAGTTCCCACTCGCCGCAACTAGAGAAAGCCTGCACGCAACAACAAAGACCCAATGCAGCCCAAAATAAATATAAATAAAGTAAATAAATTTATTTTAAAAAAAACACACAAATTTTAGCTTTTATGGTACTGTTTCCAATAAATGGGTACATGAACGTGCTTCAAGGTTCAGTGATCAGTTTCACTTCTCACCAAAAATATCTCTATTTGTTTCTTCTGGTAGAAAAATAAATTGAACAATTGTATAAATCCCAAAGGTATCCACCGAAAAGAATTACATAAAAAAGACTGGCACTTTCAGAGAAAGACTGATGCTCTTTATTTTCAAGTACTAAGATTTATTCCAGAGGACATCTAGTATTTCTTAAATCCTTAATAACTGAAATATCTTCAACTATTTTCTAAGTTAAATGTAAGATCTCTGTAACTTAAAAGAAGAAGTCATTTTATATGACTCTGATCAATACAAAATTAATATTGCAGGTACAATGAAACACTGGAGTGAGTTTATAATAAAAACCTTCAATACACCCTGTAAGTGCTGCCAAAATGAGCAGGGAGTTGCTTTTCATTTGAGATCAGATTTTTCTTCTGTCGGCAAACAGATCAAAATGCAGGACATTTCACTACTGGAGAATCTCTAATGAGCGGGTAGTAAAACACCCACCTTTCTGACTGCCACTGGATATCAAAAAATTACTCACTTCTGAGTCATAATTACCCACCAAAAATTTAGATCAAGTGGTCGTCACGTCAGCCAAATTAGTACCTGACAAGGAATGCTTTTGGCAAGGTTGGCAGCTGAGAAACAGGAAGTGAGTTGCCAAACATTATTAAAACTTGAAAAGAACAGCCTTAAAGTTGTGTGACCTACCATTCGAATACTCAAAAACCACTACAGAGAGAAAAATCACACCTGCGCAGAAGGGACACTCAGGGAGCCAGTGGAGGAGAAGAAGCAGAGGAACTGTCACCCAATCGTTGCTCACCCAAAGGGTCACGGCCAGTTTCCTGCTGGGTCATTATTATCATTATCACTGTCTTTTCAAATGTGATGAAGTCTTGTAATGGTATTTGGAAGGAGGTGGAAGTTCCAGATGTTTCTTAACAACTGACTCTGAGGGCCACAACTGCTTTCCGAAAAACTCTTACCAGTAGTTGGATTGCTTCCGAAGCAGGATACAGTCCGGGGTTTACATTTCTTCATGGCCAACAAAGATGGTAGCGGGCTCAGCTTAGATTCTGACCAGGCACCTCATGGGACTCAAGTCTTCACGTGTGAGGAAACTTGGCATGGATCAACCACCTCAGCTTGTCTTTGTCTTGGTGCTGAGTGTCATCTGGAAGTGGATGGAGAACTCTCAGGAGAATTGAGTGGTCTCTTGATATTTTGACTTTAAATTAGTCTCCCTGAGTCACTGAAATTCAATTTTTTGTTTGTTTGAACATTATTTTTGGTAGAATCATTGCAGTATTCACTCACCACGCAATCCATATTCCTATAATTCAACTTGAACATTACAGATATAGGCAGTGAATTCTGAGTTATATTGTCATTTATTTTTTCTTGATCCATATATAGTATGTGTGATCAAAAACACCAATAACACTATTCATTAAGGACTGCTCTCGCCATTCCAAAGACTTCAGACAAATGGTTTTTTGTCAGAAGATTTGAAAAACAGCAAGCATTGAACCAGATCAGAAGTCACCAAACTAGGGCCCACGGGCTAAATCTAGCCTAGTCCATTTGCTTACGTATTGTATGTGGTTGCTTTCCTTGCTACAATGGCTACAGAGTTGAGTAGCTGTAACAGAGACAACAAAGCAGAAAATATTTACTATCTCACTCTTTACATATACAAAATTGCCAACTGGACAAATTGCACTGGATAATGGCATGGGTATTATTTGGAATGAAGTCTTTACCACAGGATCATTCTCTGGTTTCTGTATCATTATTGTCTAAGACTCTCTTGACAGTATTCAAGACCCTCTATGATTGGGTGCCTTGTCCTATTACACTAACACTAATGTCCAGTCCTAGTCTATACTGTGTTCCCTGAACAAACTACACACGTTTACACTTGAATATTATTGCTGAGCTCCAGGGGTACAAAGTCTATTAAGATTTGGTTCCTATCTGTAAAGCAGAAGGTCATTACCTAGAAAGCACAGTGTCTGTGTCAGCACAGGTGTCACACACATGTGTACCTTACAAGTAGTTGAAATAAACTGAACTGAATTAAAATATACAAAGAGAATTATTGATATAAGTGTACATTATGTTCCATCTGGCATCACCTCCAAACCAGGTGTTCTTTGTACCACAATCTTGCAGAAGAATCTCCTTGATAAATCCTTGAGAAGTTTACTTAACAGCATTTTCTAAGTTCAAGTCACACAGCAAAATTAATCTACATTATTTGAAACATTTTACTAAGTTACTTCTTCTGTATAGGTCTTGGAAAATTTTCTATCTTTCTTTTTTTTTTAACGGTACGCGGGCCTCTCACTGTTGTGGCCTCTCCCATTGCGGAGCACAGGCTCCGGACGCGCAGGCTCAGCGGCCATGGCTCACGGGCCCAGCCGCTTCGCGGCATGTGGGATCTTCCCGGACCGGGGCACAAACCCGCGTCCCCTGCATCGGCAGGCAGACTCTCAACCACTGCGCCACCAGGGAAGCCCTTCTATCTTTCTTTTGAGAGAGGGAGTGGGGGGAGGGAGAGGGAGAGGGAGAGAGAAATATAGGACTGATACTCTGAACATTAAGGACTGCTTTGTTTTGGTTATGGATAATTATTTGTGCCATGTCAGAGATTCCATTATGATATTTCTTGATATAGTAACATTACTGATACTGCATTTTTCTCCTGAGGTGATACTTGGGGGTCCACTTATGAAATTGTGTTTAAATGAAGACTAATTAATTGTAAAAGGACCTCTTAGCAAAGACTGCTCAAATTAAATAATAATTACCAAATATTCTCTTCACTTTATGCTATGTAAACTCAGCCTCTAAGTTTCGCCAAGCTCTTAAGATGTCAGTTCTGGCTGGTAATTACTCAATAATCTCTCTCTTCAGTGGTATAAACTCCTCAGGTTTTTCACTGTTTCTTAAAAAAAAAAAAGAATTTCACCTTTGATTTTCATCTAGACATGTATCACCTAACGGCTGCAGGCATTCTAGTTCCACAACTCATCTGAAATACTCCTAACTGCATGAAGAAAATCATTGGTGTTGCTCTCAGGAATCTAAAAGATATTGCTACTATAAGTTTGGTTTCAAACTGGAACCCTAGACCTTTCTGGCACTGAGACTTGAATACTTTTACTAACTGTGACTATTACGGAATGTTAAAAAAAAATGAGTCTGTTAAGTATTAAGTAGAAAGGAGGAATTTCCAGTGACTTTTAATGAAAATGCACATGTTATTTCAGATCTGTTCTAGCAGCAAAGTCCTTGTCCTTGGGACAAGTGTCATAATCATTCCATGAGCCTTCACCAAGTCTAACTGTACCTGGGTGCAAAGTAGCTGGCTTGTCTTCATGACAAACTTGTGTAGTATCCATCTCACTTATATAAGTGTGAAGGGCATATACTATTTGGCGAGTTATAGCAAGATGATTTCCTAAACTCTTAGCAAAAAACAGAACCAACTCCGAGAACTCATTAAAATATACTTAACTTGAAGCTGAAATAAAAGTTTCATGAGCAAAGGAGAGGTGAGGTGGGGGACGGTATGAGCATCAAATATCCAGCTCTATAAATAATTCTTAGATTTAGATGAGGTCATGAGTAGAATCCTCATGATGGAATCAGTGTCTTTATACAAAGAGACATCAGAGGGCTTGCTCTCTCTCACACCCTCTCTCTGCCACATGAGGACCTAGCAAGAAGGCGGCCATCTACAAACCAGGAAGAGAGCTCTCCTCAGAACATGGCCCTGCTGGCAGCCTGATCTCAGACTTCCAGCTTCCAGAACTAGAAGAAATAAATTTCTGTTGTTTAAGCCACCCAGTCTATGGTATTTTGTTATGGCAGTTCGAGCTGACTAAGATACCTGGTGTCCAGAAGATTTTCATAATTCTTAGTAAAGGACATACCTGCAGGAGTGGCCTGAGTCTGATGCCTTGATTAATATGTAAACAGACTCTGAGTTGCTCTTCTTCTACTTATAGCCAAGATACTATCTGGCACTACAGTTTTGTTTGATAGACAGTATTGGCCCATGCCTGTCAACTAACCCGCGTGAAATAACATTATTACTGTATTACGTCGAGTTAGACTGCATAATATTTCCATTGTCGGACACACATGATGAAGAGATTTCAAAGTTCTCAACTGTTTACATAATTAGCATTACACATTTGTAAAATTAAGGTACCACTATCACCGCTATTACCATATTTCCTTCTTTCCAGGCTGCTGACACATGTGTGTTCACTTTTGAGAATGATCAGAGGAGATGCCTCCATCTCCAAAGGATCTCTGTGTCCTCACAGTCCCTGTGGAAGGTTCCCAAAACCCTCACTTCATCTTGTGACCTTGCCCAAAATTAAATAACCTAGGCCAGCTTAAGGAATAAGAGAAGAGACCAAGAGGGAACTGGCCTAAAACACCTGGCTCTCAGTGTAGTTTATCAATCTGCTGCTGGTTTGAAAGGATTATGTAGCCATAGGCTATTTCTGGATAGAAAGATGGTTCAGTGACATCCCTCTGGTAAATAAGTAGCCATTCCTCCTCCCTCTAAACGTCACATTGGAGTAGGCTGTGTTTTCTGATTAATTCATTTTGAATACCGCTGACTGTCACTGTAGTCATATGTCACTGGTGGCAGCTCAGAGAGTCTAACCTTCTTTAACATCGTTGCACACAATTCATTTTAAAATGTGGTCTAATAGCTACCAAATATCTGCAAGGTAAAGGGGAGATGGGATGCATTTCCCCTCAAAGTAGCCTGCAACCAAATTTATGAAAGCGAACTCTATAGGCACCATAGTGTTCTTTGCAATGCAAAGGCTGTAAACCACTTGGAAATCTCCCCAAAGAATTGTCTTCCTTGTTTACCAGAGCCTGACCAAGCCCTTGGTACTCAGACATGTGGGGAGATAAGGCACCTACTTAAGTTTTCTTAGGTGTATAATTAGAGAGGGACTAGAGACCATGACCCCTTGTCTTTGAGTGGTCTGACAGCATAACCCTAGGTTTTCACAACAGCAAGCACCCATAGGCAAGCTCTGCTCAATGCATCTCACTTTTTTCAGTTCTGGAAGGAGAGTGGCTTGGTGGAGACCCTGCTTTAGAGTCAGGAGTCAGTTCACATCATAACCCCTGCTGTTAATTAGCTTCTAGATGTAAGGGAAGGCAAGCTCCTAGGCTTTCCTGATCCTCAGTTCTCCATCACAAACAAGCAATAGTGTCATCACCTCCTTAAGTTGCCTTGATGAGCCACTGAAACCTGGAATGGGACCCTCTAGCACCTTGTTCCTTGTTCTTTGAACACCCAATGGAAACTACTGCTACTAAAATAAGTGCATTGCTTTTATGCATGGCCATGTGCAAAAGTGACAAGGCTTGGACCTAATCTTGCCCCAGGCTTTGGCCTCCACCTCCAACAATAAATACACACTCCTCTGTTTACAACTCCATAAGCAGGGACATGTGTTTCTGTTAACAATGCATGCTCTGGGCTGTCTCTGTGATCAATTACTTTATATCATTTTCAAATTGCCACATGTTTACATCTTTCCAAAGAGCTGTCCCCTGAACGAAAAAAGGCCTGCCTGACTCTGGAATGGTCAGAGGGCTTCCCTTCAACTTATCACATCTCGAAATGCCACAGACAGAAAAGCTTCCAGGCTATTTGCTAAGAAAACTAGCATAAGCTGCTTATCAGAAAATATTACGTATTCCCTGAAAGGTGAGCTGTTCTGTCAGTTGTTTGGACTGTGTGAAATTCCTTTTTTGTCATGATAGGTCACTGCACAGAAGCTAACAGTAGACTGACATCTCCCCAGTGGATGCCAGGGCCCTGGGCAAAATCCTGAAAAGCTAGCCTTTGCTTTCAGGACAAGTATGCGATGGTTGGAAACCAAGCCCTATGTAATAAACGTAAGTGGTATTAGTGTTGTTTTAATTGTGCGATTTTTAAAAAGATTTTTAAATTAATAATTTAATCTTTAACTTAAGATGAAAAAATTTTAAAGATAAAAATCAGTCAACTTACCTTGTGGATTCAGAGCCTACGTAAATCATGGTGTTCTCCGGTATCTTACACTGGCCGAATAATTTGGTAGGGAATATTCCATTCTCTTTTTGAAACATCTCA